AGGTCCACCATGAGAACTTGAACATGTTAGTGGGCTGGCTGCAATTTTTTTAGCTCAGAGCGGGCCCTCACAGCGTCGATTTTTCCCCCCGATATATTAAATTAGTAATTCTGTGCCTCTGCTAAACCTACATGTTAAGCTTTATACTTCCACTCTTAATCCCGGGTAAACCCCAACCGGTTTTTGGTTGTCTGCTGCGACCAGCGTAAGGGATTTTTGATCCCTACCAAGAGCAGTTTGGGAAGGACAGATGGGGCAGAAATGAAAGAAAAGAGGCTGCTGGAAGACTTGAGGTTCAGTTTCTCCCGTCTGAGGGGTGGGAGCACCAGGAATTGTTTGATCTCAGGAGTTTCCAGGGACTGTACTGCCAGGAGTTGTTGTTCGGTTCCGTAAAACGAGTGGTGGAGGTTTTTTGGGTCTGTTTTTTTTTGTTTTTTTTTTTTTTTTACACAGGGTTAAATATTAGCAGTAGGAGTCAGAACTTCTTGTGTGGGGCTTTTCCTTGTGCCTTGCTTCCCCTGACCCATTTTTAACCCGGTTTCACCTCTTTCTAGCACTCACAATTTCCTCGAGATTCCCTTTTTTGATGGTGCAAACACTCGGGCAGGATTTAACCCCGGTACCACGAGTAGCTGGGAAATGGGAGCAACTTCTGATCACAAAGCAATTTTTTTTTTTTTTTGCAGGGACAGGTTTTTTGTTTTTTTTTTTTCGAAGGGCGTAATTGTTCAGCTCCTCGGGTCGAGCGAGGCTTTGTTACACCAGGTTAAAGGAAGGGCTGAAGCAAATCCCAGACCCCGGTGTCTTTTTTTTTTTTTTTTTTTGATCAGGGCCTGGGATGTGTCCTGTTGCTGTAGCGTCAGCTGTGTGGTGGCAGCGGATTTTCCTTAGTTCCCCTTAGGATAAACGTCGCTTAAAAACAGGGATTTTAGGGATGTCAGGAGGAAGGTTTGGAATTTTTAGGGTTAGGAATGGGCTGGAGGGAATTTTTAGGGTTAGGATTTTAGGGTTAGGAATGGGCTGGAGGGATCTTTCTCCAAGCCTCCTAAATGGCAACATCTGACCATAACGAAAGAGTAAAACCACCCCAAAACCCAACTGTATAGGAAAGATTAAAAAGCTGATCCATTTTAATGACTTTTGCCCCAATCCGTGCAGTTCGAATGAGGCGCCGTGGCCCCGCCGCCTTCCAAGCCGTGCTGCTTTTCTTTCTTGATTGATGTATTTCCCCTGGTTTCCACTTGGAATAAAATGGAAGGCGGCCGCGCTGGCGGGCCAGAGGAGGGCTTAGTTCCGTCGGGATTATTCTGGAATAATCAGGTGTTTGGGGGAAAGGACAGAGATCTCGCTCTTCACGCGGAGGGCAGGTGCGGCGCTGGGCTCGGGGAGGTTTCCTCCGAGCAAGTCAGCTTCTGCTGAAGCGTTAAACCCGGGATTAACAACCTTTACCTCTTGGTCACTCTGAAAAGCCCGGCCTTGTGTTTTCACTAGGAAAAAAACCTGCAGAGAATGAGCAAAAAGCTGTGTGTCTGGCCTAAAAAGAGCTGAACCCCTCCAAGCAGCCCGATGCCCCCTGCCCCGTGGGGCTTGGCTTTAAATCCTGCTCAGGAAGAGGTTGGGGGGAGTCGCTGTCAACTAGGGGGGGACCCATCCAAAAACCTGCTCCCCCTCGAGCTCAGCCGCTTGCTTTATGGCAAACTGTCCCGTTTTTTCCTTGGTTTTACCAAGCTTAACGTTTTTAATTTGCTGTCCGGCGGTGTCCGCGTCCCGCGGAGCGCGCCCTGCGTCAGGGTGTTAAAAAAACCTGACTTGAAACTCGGTGGCTCCACGTGAGGCCAGAAGGGTTTGGTTTTTTGGTTTAAATCCTAAAGATAGGCACGGCTTAACTCGAAGCATTTTGCTTAAAATCACGTAAAATTCGAAGCCAGCGTCACAGCGAGGTGGAAACGCAGGGATGTGCAGTCCGGGACCTTCCAGAGCGGTTGCGCTTTGTTGTCTTTTTGCTGCATCGCTCGGGAAAAAAAAAAAAAAGCATTTTCACACACACACACACACACAGAGACACACATGCTCCCCCTCCCCTGCTACTCCTGCGCTTTGCATTCCTGAGTTAAACCCAGCTCTACCTTTGTCCACAACCCTCCTCCCAGCGCCCTGGCCGGGGATCGGCTCCGGCAGCCCCAGCGCAGGCACCGGGCGGGCGATTTCACGCTCAGCTGCACCCCTTGTGCAAAAAGCGGCCCTAGAGCAGGCTCCTTCCAGCAGGCCGCCTGTTAAACCCGGCTTGTTTGAGAGGGGGTTTGTCTAGAAGTTACTCCGAGTCTGTCGCGCTTACGTGTAAAGAGCAGGTGAGCGCACACAAAGCTCGCTCTTTTTTTTTTTTTTCTTTAAAAAAAACCCAAACA